CTTCTTTGTGTGAAGTCCAGTCAAACCCTGGTGGCAGCCATGTTTATTTTTATTATTAGAGGACGCTTACGCGCGTAATCATTCCATAATTGGAATTCGCATTTCTTAATATGATAGGATGAAAATACCCCGTAAAATACCGCAAAATTACGGCACCTGTAACTTATGGCGTTACGGTGACAGATGTATAATAATAAATATATAATTGTATTCACAGCGCACTACACGCATCCAGCCAATCGTGCAAACGACAACAAATTTACGCAACGGATAGGAATACAACACTAAAGCAAAGGAAATGAGAAATATGATAGTTGAAACCGGTTATTACATTGTACGTATGATGTCATTTCTAGCATTGGCGAGATAAGATACACAATTGCTTAAACGTCTTAACGGGTCCCTACTTGTTGTTTACATTAGTTGGATACATTTATCTACATTAGAATGTGTGTAATAATATACTAGAATGTATTTTTTCTCTCAGTGTCTTGTCAAGATCACATTTCGAAAGAAAATGATAGTCGTTTTCAGTGATACCGTCATGATGGTTACATATGCAGAGTAGGTGAGGCATGAGGCATGGTTACATTGTAATTTGATGATAAAGTCCTAAAGTCAGGGAATGTTTAAACAGCTTCCAAGTAATTATTCACCTGTACCTGCTAAACTTGAAAGTCAGTATCTGTACATCTCTGTTTGAATTCTGACAGAAACGTTCTTTCCCATCACCCAGGTTATACCTGACTTCGGCAAATCCGCGTAAAAGCAAGGCTCTCTTTAATGCTTTTGCCGTTTGCATATTGCAATTTCCCTGTTCTTTTTCATTTGTATTAAAATATGTAACCAGTTTCGATTTAATATAACTGTTTGTGGATAGCTTCTCACACGTTCTCCTCGAATTGCAGCATTGTTTTTGTAATATTTTGGATATACAGTAATTCCAAGTGTCTTTCTTTACACCCATTAATCCACCCATTTTTTACACCCATTAATAACTTCGTCATAGCGATCATTCAGAAAAAAAAAACGGAAAAAGAAAAGGAGAAAGAACACAACCCTGTCTAGCAACATGTGGAAATTCTCTGTCAAAACATCTCTACCAAACACTTCGGCATTGATATATTATCGTGAATAATATTTTTAAAATTTTACCCCTCATATCTGACTTATCCAGTTCGTAGAACCTCGTTGTCAAATGTCTTTTCAAAATCCATCAAAAGACAATTAAAGTCTACCGCTTTTGTCTCATATTTTAGAATCAATCTACGTAGAATACAAATATTAACTGTAGTAGTTCAACCTTCCCTGAAACCTGACTGCCTCC